TCGAAATGGCCTCCACGCAGTCACGCCAGATCTCCATCCAATAGAGCACCTTGGGATGTGGTGGATTGGCGAGATTTACATTCCATTAGAACGTGCAAGTCCGTCCATATTACCTTGCAGCAACTGCGTGACGCCCTCATGTCAATATGGTAGCAACATCTCGAGGCACGTTCGAGCATCCAATAACCTTGTCTGGATATTCCGCACGTAAGATTGAACGGCAAAAGGAGTGGTCGCCAATCCGGTCACGCACGGTCTCTAGCACGGTTTTTATTCGGTACATAAATTAATCGGGGAAGTTTAGTCTTTGACGATTGCTCCGGCTGTACTGTTTAGTTTGCGCTTTACCACTGTATACAGGGGATCGGCGTGCGGATCAGAAGATAAAGGAAATTAAAACCATTGACCATCTGCGGACTGAGCAACATCGCAAGTGGACCCGACGAGGCTAGGTGGACCCTCTTAGGGTCGAGTGGGCAGTCCGGGGCGCCCGGGGAGATTCCCGGATAAAGAACGGTCAAGCTAGTAGACAGGCCGGGGGTCTCAACTAATGTAGAAGCCGCCCCTGAGGTACCCTTGCACTAGGATGTGTTAGTTTTGGGGTTGATACTATACGTGGTTTTGGCAGTGGACTGGGCGCTGACGGATCAATGGTATATAATATCGCCCCCCATCGATCTCCCTATTTCCCCGGGGGCCAGCCTCATGCACTACCTCAAGTCGCGCCCGAAGTCACCCACCCCTGCCCCTGAGATATAGCTGGACACATCATTGGTAAGCTCAAATGATTTCTTTTTCCAGCTTCCTAATATCTCGTAGTTGAGGCTTTGGATTTGCCAGACAGAGATTGATTTCTAGGTCAAAGTTAGACCTTCTATTTTCCAGGTGGCACCTCTCCTGCTCTGGAGTGGCCATGCAAGCCTAGAACACAAGATTCCTCCGACAATACCAGTTTGTTATAATAAGTTTGCTGAGTATTACAAAGTAAAGACGAAATTCACGTCTGTCTTCCCAAATTGAATTGTTGTTGTTGTACTGAATTGTTACATAATTGTTTAGTATAATTGTTAGCATGCGTTTACTAACATTTTCGTAAAAGGTCGTCAGGATTATTTCCACAATATGTAGAGACGTATCTTCCCCACCCTAATCTGCTTATAGGAGGATTTCTGGACATACTGTTCTCTGGTGTGCTAGAATCACCTTCCAACTGTTACACCTATATTAGAACCTTCTGTGTGGCGATTTTTTTTTTTTTTTTGCTAAATCTGATAAGGTAGGGAGCATAGAATTGTCTTTCAATATGGAGTCTGACGTTTACTTTATAAAATGGGCAGCCATACCTGTATAAGAAAGTGTTTCTGGTCTTCTTATGTGGTGGTCTAGTTCTTCCGGCGATTTGTCTAGAATAGAGAAAATCGTAGGGGAAGTTTATTGTGGTACCTTTCCCTGATGGTTAGGAAGGGGGTCGGCGATGCTCAGGCCAACCAACCTGGACAACCAAACCTCCTTAAAACAGATTCTTCTGACAGTGAGAAAGACAGACGTGCCCCCAATCTTTGTTTCACAGGTCCGAAATTTAGATTGCCAAGAATGGAGTTCCCAGTGGCTTGCTATAATTGGTGTCCGTAGGTTGTGGTGTGACCCCCATATCTTTGATATGTAGTCCGCTATTATTCCCCAGAATACATATATTGGTGGGTGTAAGTGGAACCGACCCGACTGCACATGGCTACTTGCCGCTAGAGAACTCCCACTTCCCCATCCGAAACACAGATCCCCCGGAAACCACCGCTGACCATGTACAAGACTAGATGACACCAATCTGTTGTGAACTCAACCACCACCGACACCACAGCTGACCATACAAGAGTAGACGACACCAAATCTGTCCACGAAACACCGACCACTGACACCACAGGAGACCATACAGGACTAGACTACACCAATCTGTCACTCTGAACACCGACCACTGACACCACCGCTGACCATACAGGACTAGACGACACCAATCTGTCTGAAACCCGAACACCACCGGCTGACCACAGGACTAGAATCGCACACCAATCTGTCGAGAACACCGACCACTGACAACCCTACCGCTGCCGCCCATCACAAGACTACGACGACACCAATCTGTCCGAACTCCAACACCACTGACACCACCGCTGGACCATACAAGAACTAGACGACACCAATCTGTCCGAACACTGACACCCAGACATAACCACCGCTGACCATACAAGAGTAGACGACACCCAATCTGTCACGAACACCGACCACTGACACCACCGGCTGAGCACCATACAGGACTAGACGACACCAATCTGTCATTCGAACACCGACCACTGACACCGACCGCGACCGACCATACAAAGACTAGACGACAGAAATCTGTCAAACACCAACCAATGACACCACCGCTGACACATACAAGACTAGCACGACACCAATCTGTACCCCTCGAACACCAACCACTGACACCACAGAGACCATACAAGACTAGACACACCAATCTGTCCCGAAACACCGACACCACTGACAACCACAGAGACCATACAGGACTAGATGACACCAATCTGTCCGAACACCGACCACTGACACCACAGAGACCATACAAGACTAGACGACACCAATCTGTCCCGAACATACCGACCACTGACACCACAGAGACCATACAGGACTAGATGACACCAATCTGTCGCGAGAACACCGGACCACTGACACCACAGAGACCATACAAGTAGACTAGACGACACCAATCTGTCCGAACACCGACCACTGGACACCACAGAGACCATACAAGACTAGACCGACACCAATCGACACCAATCTGTCGAACACCGACCACTGACACCACAGAGAACCCATACAGACACCTGACCGCTAGATACGACACCAATCTGTCCGAACACCGACCACTGACACCACAGAGGACCATACAGGACTAGACGACACCAATCTGTCCACCGAACACAGACCTGACCACTGACACCACCGAACAACCGACCATTACAGGACTAGACTAGACACCAATCTGTCCGAACACCGACCACTGACGACACCAATCGCTGACCATACAACAGACCATAGACGACACCAATCTTCAAGCCCAAACAACACCATTACGAGAGCAGACCAAATCTTTAACACCGACCACTGAACACCGCTGACATAACATACGACAGATTATATACAACTCAGGGGAACACACAAGGATCCCCCCTGTTTTCCTCCCTGCATAATGACACAGGGCAGGGCGAATCCCCCCTCCCCTATGCATAATGACACAGGGCGGGGACGCAATCTACATTTTAGTAACCAAGAGACACACCAGCAGAAAGTCCCCCGATCAGGAGGGAGGGCCTGCTGGAGAGACACCCCCCACCAGCCAATACACACCAAACACATACATCCACATAATATACAAGTTTGACTCCCAAGCAAGACACACAATAGAACAATGGGATGCAACCACATGGCAGTAAACAATCCACAAACCCCCCCCCCAAATATTAGGACAGATCACCACTTGCTGACTCAAGACTGTACCCCTAACAGGCACAGGGAGACTTACACATAAGATGGATATGGGGAGCTGAGACAGTGGTCTCCCCACCTCTCCATGGGCCTCCCAACCCCAAAGGGAGCTGATGTTCCATGGGCCCCCCACCCAAATGTGAGCTGTGTTCCATGGGCCCCCCCCACACCCAAAGTGAGCTGTGTTCCATGAGCCCCCCAACCCAAAGTGAGCTGTGTTCCATGGGCCCCCCCCACCCAAAGTGAGCTAGTGAGCTGTGTTCCATGGGCCCCCCACCCAAAGTGGGCTGTGTTCCATGGGCCCCCCACCCCAAAGGAAGCTGTGTTCCATAGGCCGCCCCCCCACCCACCCCAACCCAAAGTGAGCTGTGTTCCATGAGCCCCCCACCCAAAGTGAGCTGTATTTCATGGGCCCCCCACCCAAAGTGAGCTGTGTTCCATGGGCCCCCCACCCAAAGTGGGCTGTGTTCCATGGGCCCCCCACCCAAAGTCACTCCTGTCACAGTGGGCAATGCCAACACCAGTGTGCCAAGGTAGCGCCTGCTTTGCTGCTACATACGTGAAATATGTCTGTCATGGAAGAGATTTGTAGGCCCCGTGTGTGAGATCCCGTATTGACTTTCCCCCCGCAGGTTCATTGATGACAACCTTGGTTGTCGTAGCACCGCCCCCAGCTGAGGCTGCTGGTTTTAACTGGTTGTTCCCCAACTAGGACAGAGGCTGCCCATCCCCCCCCCAAGCACCAAGGCATTCACAATGGCTTCAACAATACCGTCTAGTCCAGGGGGTGTCAGACTCCATGTCATGGCGGCCCGTATCAGCATTATGGTTTTCCCTCAAAGAGCCGGAGGTATCTGTAAGACTAGAGCACCCCCCCCCCCCATTACATCAGATGTCATGAATCCCCACCCCTCCCCAACATCACCGTGCACCCCCTTTGGGGGCGGAGCTGGGAAGCAGAAATTGCGGGGTCTGGAGGAGGACCAGAGGAGGAGTGGAGTGCAGAGTCTGGAGGAGGACCAGAGGAGGAGTGGAGTCAGTTACCAGAGTCGGCTGAATGCTGAGACCAGGGGGTGGGGGAGGCGGAGATTAGGGGGTGCTGCAGCTGCACTGAGAGGTGCAGGATCTGTCGGAGGAGTTCTGTCCTCCTCTCTGCTGCCGACTGCTGAGACAAGGTGGGGGCAAAGACGAGGGGGGTTACCTGCAGGAGAGGTGCAAGGGCCCCTGGAGGGCCATATTCAGCCCGCGGGCCTTGTGTTTGACACCTGTGGTCTAGGAGATGACCTTTTTGTGGTTTATTGCTTGAAGAACTTCAACAGGGGAGCGGGGTCCAGGGCATGGGAGAGTCCAAAATCTTCTCCTAGAGCAGGGGTCTCCAAACCTTCAAACAAAGGGCCAGTTTACTGCCCATCAAACATTACAGGGGGGGGGGGGGGGGGGGTTATTAAAATGCTGTGACCCAGTGGGGGTTTAAAATGCCCTGGAATTGGTGGGAGTAAGCCAGATTGGTGGTCACTCGGAGTAAAAAGAAAAAAAATATGACATCATTGGGTGTCAGTGGGAGAGGAATAGTGCCCCGTCATTGGTGTCAGTGGGAGGAATAGTGCCCCCGTCATATGGTGTCAGTGGGAGGAATAGTGGCCACCCCATCATTGGGAGGAATGTCAGTGGGAGGAATAGTGCCCCATCATTGGGTGTCAGTGGGAGGAATAGTGCCCCATCATTGGTGTCAGTGGGAAAATAGTGCCCCATCATTGGTGTCAGTGGGAGGAATAGTGACCCATCATTGGTGTCTACAGTGGGAGGAATAGTGCCCTATCATTGGTGTCAGTGGGAGGAATAGTGCCCCATCATTGGTGTCAGTGGGGAGGAATAGTGCCCCATCATTGGTGTCAGTGAGGTAGGAATAGTGCCCCATCATTGGTTCGTCAGTGGGGGAGGAAATAGTGACCATCATTGGTGTCAGTGGGAGAAATAGTGCCCCATCATTGGTGTCTAGTGGGAGGAATAGTGACCCATCATTGGTGTCAGTGGGAGGAATAGTGCCCCAATCATTGGTGTCAGTGGGTGAATAGAGTGCCCCAATCAGGTCAGTAGTGCCCCTCATCATTGGTGTCAGTGGGAGGAATAGTGCCCCTCATTGGTGTCAGTGGGAGGAATAGTGCCCCATCATTGGTGTCAGTGGGGAGGAATAGTGCCCCATCATTGGTGTCAGTGGGAGGAATAGTGCCCCATCATTGGTGTCAGTGGGAGGAGGAATAGTGACCCCATCATTGGTGTCAGTGGGAGGAATAGTGCCCCATCATTGGTGTCAGTGAGGAGGAATAGTGCCCCATCATTGGTGTTAGTGGAGGAGGGAATAGTGCCCCATCATTGGTGTCAGTGGGAGGAATAGTGCCCCATCATTGGTGTCAGTGGGGGAATAGTGCCCAACATCATTGGTGTCAGTGGGGGAAATAGTGCCCCATCATTGGTGTCAGTGGGAGGAATAGTGCCCCATCATTGGTGTCAGTGGGAGGAATAGTGCCCCATCATTGGTGTCAGTGGGAGGAATAGTAGTGTCCCATCATTGGTGTCAGTGGGAGGAATAGTGCCCATCATTGGTGTCAGTGGGAGGAATAGTGCCCCATCATTGGTGTCAGTGGGAGGAATAGTGCCCCATCATTGGTGTCAGTGGGAGGAATAGTGTCCCATCATTGGTGTCAGTGGGAGGAATAGTGCCCCATCATTGGTGTCAGTGGGAGGAATAGTGCCCCATCATTGGTGTCAGTGGGAGGAATTGTGCCCCATCATCATTGGTGTCAGTGGGAGGAATAGTGCCCATCATTGGTGTCAGTGGGAGGAATAGTGCCCATCATTGGTGTCAGTGGGAGGAGGAATTGTGTCCCATGGGAGGAATAGTCCCATCATTGGTGTCAGTGGGGGAGGAATAGTGCCCCATCATTGGTGTCAGTGGGAGGAATAGTGCCCCATCATTGGTGTCAGTGTGGGAGGAATAGTGCCCCATCATTGGTGTCAGTGGGAGGAATAGTGCCCCCATCATTGGTGTCAGTGGGAGGAATAGTGCCCCATCATTTGGTGTCAGTGGGAGGAATAGTGCCCCATCATTGGTGTCAGTGGGAGGAATAGTGCCCCATCATTGGTGTCAGTGGGAGGAATAGTGCCCCATCATTGGTGTCAGTGGGAGGAATAGTGCCCCTATCATTTGGTGTCAGTGGGAGGAATAGTGCCCCATCATTGGTGTCAGTGGGAGGAATAGTGCCCCATCATTGTGTCAGTGGGAGGAATAGTGCCCCATCATTGGTGTCAGTGGGAGGAATAGTGCCCCATCATTGGTGTCAGTGGGGAGGAATAGTGCCCCATCATTGGTGTCAGTGGGAGGAATAGTGTGCCCATCATTGGTGTCAGTGGGAGGAATAGTGCCCATCATTGGTGTCAGTGGGAGGAATAGTGCCCCATCATTGGTGTCAGTGGGAGGAATAGTGCCCCATCATTGGTGTCAGTTCAGGGAGGAATAGTGCCCATCATTGGTGTCAGTGGGAGGAATAGTGCCCCATCATTGGTATCAGTGGGAGGAATAGTGCCCCATCATTGGTGTCAGTGGGAGGAATAGTGCCCCATCATTGGTGTCAGTGGGAGGAATAGTGCCCCATCAATCATTGGTATCAGTGGGAGGAATAGTGCCCCCGTCATTGGTGTCAGTGGGAGGAATAGTGGCCCCATCATTGGTGTCAGTGGGAGGAATAGTGCCCCATCATTGGGTGTCAGTGGGAGGAATAGTGCCCCATCATTGGTGTCAGTGGGAGGAATAGTGCCCATCATTGGTGTCAGTGTGGGAGGAATAGTGCCCCATCATTGGTGTCAGTGGGAGGAATAGTGCCCATCATTGGTGTCAGTGGGAGGAATAGTGCCCCATCATTGGTGTCAGTGGGAGGAATAGTGCCCCATCATTGGTGTCAGTGGGAGGAATAGTGCCCCATCATTGGTGTCAGTGGGAGGAATAGTGCCCCATCATTGGTGTCAGTGGGAGGAATAGTGCCCATCATTGGTGTCAGTGGGAGGAATAGTGCCCCATCATTGGTGTCAGTGGGAGGAATAGTGCCCCATCATTGGTGTCAGTGGGAGGAATAGTGCCCCATCATTGGTGTCAGTGGGAGGAATAGTGCCCCATCATTGGTGTCAGTGGGAGGAATAGTGCCCATCATTGGTGTCAGTGGGAGGAATAGTGCCCCATCATTGGTGTCAGTGGGAGGAAATAGTGCCCATCATTGGTGTCAGTGGGAGGAATAGTGCCCCATCATTGGTGTCAGTGGGAGGAATAGTGCCCCATCATTGGTGTCAGTGGGAGGAATAGTGCCCCATCATTGGTGTCAGTGGGAGGAATAGTGCCCCATCATTGGTGTCAGTGGGAGGAATAGTGCCCCATCATTGGTGTCAGTGGGGGAATAGTGCCCCATCATTGGTTGGTCAGTCAGTGGGAGGAATAGTGCCCCCCATCATTGGTGTCAGTGGGAGGGAATAGTGCCCCCATCATTGGTGTCAGTGGGAGGAATAGTGCCCCATCATTGGTGTCAGTGGGAGGAATAGTGCCCCATCATTGGTGTCAGTGGGAGGAATAGTGCCCCATCATTGGTGTCAGTGGGAGGAATAGTGCCCCATCATTGGTGTCAGTGGGAGGAATAGTGCCCCATCATTGGTGTCAGTGGGAGGAATAGTGCCCCATCATTGGTGTCAGTGGGAGGAATAATGCCCCCATCATTGGTGTCAGTGGGGAGGAATAGTGCCCCATCATTGGTGTCAGTGGGAGGAATAGTGCCCCATCATTGGTGTCAGTGGGAGGAATAGTGCCCCATCATTGGTGTCAGTGGGAGGAATAGTGCCCCATCATTGGTGTCAGTGGGAGGAATAGTGCCCCATCATTGGTGTCAGTGGGAGGAATAGTGCCCCATCATTGGTGTCAGTGGGGAGGAATAGTGCCCCATCATTGGTGTCAGTGGGGGAATAGTGCCCCATCATTGGTGTCAGTGGGAGGAATAGTGCCCCATCATTGGTGTCAGTGGGAGGAATAGTGCCCCATCATTGGTATCAGTGGGAGGAATAGTGCCCCATCATTGGTGTCAGTGGGAGGAATAGTGCCCCATCATTGGTGTCAGTGGGAGGAGGATAGTGCCCCATCATTGGTGTCAGTGGGAGGAATAGTGCCCCATCATTGGTGTCAGTGAGAGGAATAGTGCCCCATCATTGGTGTCAGTGGGAGGAATAGTGCCCCATCATTGGTGTCAGTGGGAGGAATAGTGCCCATCATTGGTGTCAGTGGGAGGAATAGTGCCCCCATCATTGGTGTCAGTGGGAGGAATAGTGTCCCATCATTGGTGTCAGTGGGAGGAATAGTGCCCCATCATTGGTGTCAGTGGCAGGAATAGTGTCCCATCATTGGTGTCAGTGGGAGGAATAGTGCCCCATCATTGGTGTCAGTGGGAGGAATAGTGCCCCATCATTGGTGTCAGTGGGAGGAATAGTGCCCCATCATTGGTGTCAGTGGGAGGAATAGTGCCCCATCATTGGTGTCAGTGGGAGGAATAGTGCCCCATCATTGGTGTCAGTGGGAGGAATAGTGCCCCATCATTGGGTGTCTGTGGGAGGAATAGTGTCCCATCATTGGTGTCAGTGGGAGGAATTAGTGCCCATCATTGGTGTCATTGTGGGAATAGTGCCCCATCATTGGTGTCAGTGGGAGGAATAGTGCCCCATCATTGGTGTCAGTGGGAGGAATAGTGCCCCATCATTGGTATCAGTGGGGGGAATAGTGCCCCATCATTGGTGTCAGTGGGAGGAATAGTGCCCCATCATTGGTGTCAGTGGGAGGAATAGTGCCCCATCATTGGTATCAGTGGGAGGAATAGTGTCCCATCATTGGTGTCAGTGGGAGGAATAGTGTCCCATCATTGGTGTCAGTGGGAGGGAATAGTGCCCCATCATTGGTGTCAGTGGAAGGAATAGTGTCCCATCATTGGTGTCAGTGGGAGGAATAGTGTCCCCATCATTGGTGTCAGTGGGGAGGAATAGTGCCCCATCATTGGTGTCAGTGGAAGGAAATAGTGTTCCCATCATGGTGTCAGTGGGAGGGAATAGTGTCCCATCATTGGTGTCAGTGGGGGGAATAGTGCCCCATCATTAATATTTTATTCTGTTCTATTCCAATTTATTGTAATCAATTCTATATTTTTCTATTCTATTCTGTGCTATTGTATTACATTCCCTTTTATTTTTATATTTTATTCTTTTCTATTCTATTTGCTTCAAAGTTCAAAATTCGGCAGGCAGCTATATTCTTGTTATTTTATTCCATTCTATTTCTAATTTATTGTAATCTATTCTATTCTATTCTTTTTTCTATTCTATTCTTTTCTATTCTATACTATTGTGCTACATTTTTATATTTTTATGCTTTTCTATTCTGTTCTGTTTTATTCTATTCTGTTTGTTTCAAAGTTTGGAAGGCAGATATTTTCATTTTTTATATTTCATTCTATTCTAATCTTTTGTAATCTATTCTATATTTTTCTATTCCATTCTTTTTCTATTTCAATTTTTTTTCTATTCTATACTATTTTATTACATTTTTTATATTTTGTTCTTTTCTATTCTATTCTGTTTGTTTCAAAGTTCAACATTTGGACGGCAGCTATATTCTTTTTCTTTTATTCCATTCTCATCTAATCTATTGTGATCTATTCTATGTTTTTTCTATCCTATTCTTTTCTATGCTATCCTCTTTTTCTGTTCTATTCTTTTAGAAATTTTAGTCCTGGAAAGTGATAGTCAGCAATATGTCTACATTCCAAATTTGTTTTCAAATTTGTTTTCAAATTTGTTTTTCGAATTCGAATTTCATTTTTTTTTTTTGGAGTTATTTTACATTTGTTAATATTGTCATTCGGAATTTGGATTTCAGATTCATCCAAATCACAAAATAACGAAATGTTCGGCCAGATTCCGCTGGGATTGGATAGAATCGCTCGTGTCTTTCATGTCTGTTTGTAACTTTAATCCGAGAAGGAAGGAAAATAGAAGAAAAACATGAGAGATTTGGAC